ATGTTATTTTATTTTTTTAAAAATCTAGAAAATAAGAATTAAATTTAGTACTTTATTATTTTTTAACTTGAGATATTATGAATTAAGCATATTTTTTTGATATTTGTTAAATTTATTTCCTCCCTTATTAAAATCAACAAAATTTTTTTTCTTCATTAACTACTAGAAATTTATAAAATATGACTAAATAAACAATGGCCATCTCTAATTCTTACTATATATATTTTTAAGTATATGTTTTAAATACAAATATTAAGTTTAAATAATGAATGTTAGATTAATTTTTCTGTGATACCTCTTCATAAAACCAATTATATAAATTAATATTTGATAATTAATTAATTAATATATTTATTTGTTCATTTTATCTATTTATAATTAATTAATTAAATTTCATAAATTGCTATTAAATATTTTTGACAAAAAAAATAAATGATATAATAGATTTAAAATTATTATAAATTAGAAGAAGTAATTGTTAATTTTTTTATTAACATGCTTTAAATTTATAAAATTAATAAATAAAGTTTTTAAGCTCTTCACTTTCATCTCATTAGGTTCTCCTTATTAATCTCTTGTATATTTTATTAATAAATATTGTTTTTATTATTATTAATATTTTTAATATATTTAACAATCAATTTATTTAAATAAATAATTTTATTATAGAAATTATCATCATTATTTAAAGATTTTTATTAAAACAAAAATTTTTTAGCTATTTTAGCTAAATTTTTATTTCAATTTTTAATTATTTATTATTCATTTTTTGTTATTTGATATTTTTTATTCATTTTTTGCTATTAAAATTTATACTAATAATATAAAAGCAGTTTATTTATTTTGGATGTAATATTTTTAATTATAAAATTTAATTTATTTAAAATATTAAAGCTCTTTTAATTTATTTTCCTTTTTCTTTTTAATATGATTTCTTATTTTTTCATTCTATATTAATTTTATTAATTTTTAATTAATGTTATTATTTCATATTTTTTCTTCATTTTTTCCTCCTAATTAACTAGAGTGAAATGCTTATTTAATTTATAAAAAGCTAAATGTAATATATCTTAATAACATAATAAATAAAGCTGAATTAGCTTAAAATAGTTTTATTTTTGAGTTTTTAGAAAGCTTTAAATTCACAAAATGTAAAATATGAAATAATATTTACATACCATAAATTCTAAAAAAATAAATCTTGAAAAATTTACAAACAAGACAAATATTAGACTATTTCTTAATTTAAAATTAGTAAAAAAACCCTAATAATTAGTAAAGGAATACTCTTTTTAAATTTTAAGGTATATTTTTTATAGTTTAACTAGTAAATTGTAAGAAAATTCTTATTTTAATAAGGCATTATGGTAATTGATTAAATACAGATAATATTTTTAAACTTAGTATTAAGGTTTGAAGATTTTTGACTTTTTGGAAAATGCAATTTATGTTTTTTCATTCAAATATCAATTCTGATATTGATGAGTTAAAATTATTGGTAATATTTATGTCATCAATTTCTCTCCAAAAGTATTTTAGAGAATTATATATTAATCAGTAAATATCCAAAATATTTTACACTAATTTTTTAGTTTTAAGAATTTGGTTTCTCATTTTCTAATTTAAAGCTACTTATTAAAATCTATATATAATTAATTATCTAATTTTATGTTTTATTTTTTTTAAATATCTGTATAATTAAATCAGAATTTTTTCATTAATTTTACAAATAAATAAAACTTATAAAATTATGAATTAACATATTTAGTAAAAGAAAGTAGAAGATTTTATTTAAGATATTCTAATTTAGTAATAAAGATTATTTCAAATTAAATATAATTATTACATAATATCAAATACAGTGTATGCTTGAAAAAATTGTGAATTTTGCTAATTCAGAGCATTAATTAATAGCAATTAACCATCTATTTAGATAATAATTACAAAATATAAAAAAAATTATTAAAATTAATAAAAAATTAAATTAAAATATTTATTAAATTTATTATAAATAACTAAATAAATAGTTAAAAATTAAGATAAACTAAAAGTCCTTCGTTTGTTTATTAATTTTTATTATAAAAAATTAGTGAATTTAAAATAAGTAATTTCTTTTATTTATTATTTGAAATCCATAAATTCTAAAGAGCCAATTTAAAAAATAAATAGTTTTAATTAAAAAAAAAATAATCATTTATTTACTTTAATTTCAGAGTTAAACTTTAGAACTTATGCAATTTACTAATTATTGACCTAAATCTAGAATATTCTTTGATATTTTATTATAATTTATTTTAGATAAAGTGAAAAATAAATAATTACTTTAAAGTCAAATTAAAAGTCAAAAATATGAATAAATTTTAAATTAAAAAATAAGATTAATAATTAAATTTATGTCAAAAAATAAATGAAAAATAAATAGATATTTTTATTATTAATATCAAATTATTTTTATAAAACTCTTTCAATTTAAAATAATATTTGATTAGAATAAATAGTTATTTTGTTAGAATAATCTTTTTTTTCAATTAAAATTATAAGGAAATTTTTGGAAAAAAATGATAAATTTGATAACTTTTTATTGATTTTTTTAAGGTCCTTGTTAATTTCAGTACTCGAATTTTTGATAAAAGCTATAAATTTAAAGAATACACAAAGAATTTGTTTTTATTTCGTGTAGTTTCCAACATATAAAAAGCCATAACTAAACAAAATTATAATTATTTGTTTTAATGATAGTTAAACTGCAATATAAATCAAATTAATTACATTTCCTAAAATGGAATTAAATAAAAAAATATATTTTGATTATTCAATTTTATTTATGTTAATCAATAAATAAATATTTAATTATTCATTTTGTAAATTCAATCTATATTTAATTTTACTAATCTTTTTATTTTATAAGCTAATCTTTTGGTTTCTGTTTTTCTTTATTCATGCAATTTACTTTTAATAAATATAAATTTATTTCTTAAATAAATAAAAAAAAATTTACTTAAATTTATCTTATTTTAAACAAAAAAAATAATTACTTTATAAATAGTTTCAATAATTTTATATTTTTACAGTTGATAATTTCTCTGGATTGTAAAAACTTCTCATTATTACTTAAAAAAATAAAGATATTTTAAATAGCATCATAAAAACTTTATTATAGTTTTTTTCAAAAGTAAAAAATCAAATTTACTCTGAGATAAAAATTAAATTTGTAAGTTGAGTGCAGCTACTCAAACCTAATCCAATATTTTATGCTCCTTTATCACCAATTTTATTGCCCCTTTTCAAACAAAATAAATCAATTTATTAACTATTTAAATTTGTTTTGAAATTTAACTCAAAATAAAATAAATAATTCAAACTTATTTTAAAATAAAAATAATATAATTTTACGAAATGTCAAATTTAAGATTTGTTAGGAATTTACAGTTACCAAGTGCTGTACCAATAGTAGAAGCCCCATCATCCCTAATTTAATTTTTGCTTTTATAAGTGAAAATCATGTTTAATTAAAATTTAAGATATTTTATAAATTCAAAGTATTTTTTAATTGAATAAAATTGTTTGTCATAATTTTTTTTAAAAGTTATAAACAAAATAAATTTACTTTATCTTAAAATCTAAATTTGTAAGTTGAGTGCAGTTACTCAAACCTAATGCAATATTTTATGCTCCTTTATCACCAATTTTATTGCCCCTTTTCAAATAAAATAAATCAATTTATTAACTATTTAAATTTGTTTCGAAATTTATATCAAAATATATAAAATAATTTTCAAATTTTTTTTATTTATCAATATATAAATAAAATATAATTTTACCAAATTGAAAATTAGAGATTGATTAGGAATTTGCAGTTACCAAGTGCTGTACCAATAGTAGAAGCTCCATCATCCCCAATTTAATTGCAGCTTTTATAAATGCAAATCATTTTTAATTAAAATTTAAGACATTTTATAAATTCAAAGTATTTTTTAATTTAGTTTGAATAAAATGGTTTGTCATAATTTTTAAAAAAATAATAAACAAAATAAATTTACTTTATCTCAAAATCTAAAATTGTAAGTTGAGTGCAGTTACTCAAACCTAATCCAATATTTTATGCTCCTTTATCACCAATTTTATTGCCTCTTTTCAAACAAAATAAGCAATTTATTAAATATTTAAATTTGTTTTGAAATTTAAATCCAAATATATAAATAATTTAAACTTTTTTTAGTTGTATAAATAAATAAAAATTTTACTAAATGTAAAATTTGAGATTAATTAGGAATTTGCAGTTACCAAGTGCTGTACCAATAGCAGAAGCTCCATCATCCCCAATTTAATTATTGCTTTTATAAATGCAATCAAGTTTAATTAAAATTTAATACTTTTATAAATTAAAATTATTTTTAATTGAATAAAATGGTTTGTCATAATTTTTTTTAAAGTTTAAAACAAAATAAATTTACCTTATCCTAAATTTTAAAATTGTAAGCTGAGAGCAGTTATTCAAACCTAATCCTATATTTTATGCTCCTTTATCACCGATTTTATTGCCCCTTTTTCAAATAAAATAAATCAATTTATTTACTATTTAAATTTGTTTTGAAATTTAAATCAAAATGTATAAAATAATTCAAACTTTTTTTAGTTATCAAAAAATAAATAAAATATAATTTTACCAAATTGAAAATTAGAGATTGATTAGGAACTTGCAGTTACCAAGTGCTGTACCAATAGTAGAAGCTCCATCATCCCCAATTTAATTTTCGCTTTTATAAATGCAAATCAGGTTTAACTAAAATTTAAGACATTTTATAAATTAAAAGTATTTTTTAATTCATTTGTCATAATTTTTTTAAAAGTTTTGAACAAAATAAATTTACCTTATGTCAAATTCTAAATTTGTAAGTTGAGTGCAGCTACTCAAACCTAATCCTATATTTTATGCACCTTTATCATCGATTTTATTGTGCCTTTTGAAACAAAATAAATCAATTTATTAACTATTAAAATGTGTCTTAAAATTTAAACCAAAATATATAAAATAATTCAAACTTTTTTTAGTTGTCAATAAATAAATAAAATATTATTTTACTCAATGTATAATTTGAGATTAGTTAGTAACTAGCAGTTACCAAGTGCTTTACCAATAGTAGAAGCCCCATCATCCCCAATATTATTATTGCTTTTATCAATGCAAATCATGTTTAATTAAAATTTAAGACATTTTATAAATTCAAAGTATTTTTTAATTGATTTGAATATAATCATTTGTCATAACTTTTTTAAAAGTTATAAATGAAATAAATTTACCTTATATCAAATTTTAAATTTGTAAGCTGATTACAGTTACTCATAAGTAATCCAATATTTTATGCTCCTTTATCACCAATATTATTGTCACTTTTGAAACAAAATAAATCAATTTATTAACTATTTAAACTTGTTTTGAAATTTAAATTAAAATTTATTAAATAATTCAAGCTTTTTTTTAGTTATCAATAAATAAATAAAATTAGTTTTACGAAATGTAAAATTTGAGATTAGTTAGGAACTTGCAGTTACCAAGTACTGTACCAATAGTAGAAGCTCCATCATCCCCAATTTAATTTTTGCTTTTATAAATGAAAATCAAGTTTAATTAAAAATTAAGATATTTTTTAAATTAAAAGTACTTTTTTTTTAATTGAATAAAATGGTTTGTCATAATTTTTTAAAAGTAAAAAACGAAATAAATTTACCTTATCTCAAAATATAAATTTGTAAGTTGAGTGCAGTTATTCAAACTTAATCCAATATTTTATGCTCCTTTATAACTGATTTTATTGCGCCTTTTCAAATAAAGTAAATCAATTTATTAATTATTTAAATTTGTTTTGAAATTTAAATCAAAATATATAAAATAATTCAAACTTTTTTTATTTATCAATAAATAAATAAAATATAATTTTACGAAATGTCAAATAAGAGATTTGTTAGGAACTTGCAGTTACCAAGTGCTTTACCAATAGTAGAAACTCCATCATCCCCAATAATATTTTCTCTTTTATAAATGCAAATCAAGTTTAATTAAAATTTAAAATATTTAATAAATTAAAAGAATTTTTTAATTCAATTTGAATAAAATGGTTTGTCATAATTTTTTAAAATGTTATAAACAAAATAAATAAATTTACCTTAGGAAAAAATCTAAATTTGTAAGTTGAGTGCAGTTACTCAAACCTAATCCAATATTTTATGCTCCTTTATCACCAATATTATTGTCACTTTTGAAAAAAAATAAATCAATTTATTAACTATTTAAATTTTTTTTGAAATTAAAATCAAAATGTAAAAAATAATTCAAACTTTTTTTTAATTGTCAATAAATAAATTAAATATAATTTTACCAAATTGAAAATTTGAGATTGGTTAGGTTTTTGCAGTTACCAAGTGCTGTACCAATAGTAGAAGCTCCATCATCCCCAATATAATTTTCGCTTTTATAAAAGCAAAACACGTTCAATTAAAATAGAAGACATTTTATAAATTAAAAGTATTTTTTAATTCAGTGAAATTAATCATTTGCAATAATTTTTTTAAAAGCTGAAAATGAAATCAATTTACCTTATATCAAATTCTAAATTTGTAAGTTGAGTGCAGTTACTCAAACCTAATCCAATATTTTATGCTCCTCTATCACCGATTTTATTGCACCTTTTCAAATAAAGTAAATCAATTTATTAACTATTTAATTTTTTTTGAAAAAAAATCAAAATAAATAAATATAATTTTACCAAATGTAAAATTTGAGATTAGTTAGTAACTTGCAGTTACCAATTGCTTTACCAATAGTAGAAGCTCCATCATTCCCAATTTAATTTTGGCTTTTATAAATGCAAATCAGGTTTAATAAAAATTATTTTTTAATTGAACAAAATGGTTTGTCATAATTTTTTAAAAAAATATAAACGAAATAAATTTACCTTATGACAAATTCTAAATTTGTAAGTTGAGTGCAGTTACTCAAACCTAATCCAATATTTTATGCTCCTCTATCACCAATTTTATTTTTCCTTTTCAAACAAAATAATCCAATTTAAATTTGTTTTGAAATTTAAATTAAAACATATAAAATAATTCAAGCTTTTAATTGTAAACAAAATAAATTTTACCAAATATAAAAATTGAGATTAGTAAGGAATTTACACTCGCCAAATGCTGTACCAATAGTAGAAGCTCCATCATCCCCAATTAAATTTTAGCTTGTATAAATGTAAATTAAGTTTAATTAAAAATTTAAGACATTTTATAAATTAAAGTATTTTTAATTCAGTTTAAATAAAAATCTATTACATATTTTTTCAAAAATAATAAATAAAATTTACCTTATATCAAATTTTAAATTAGTAAGTTGATTGGATTTTCTCAAGCCTAATCCAATATTTTATACTCCATCATCTCCAATTTTATTTCCACTTTTCAAATAAAATAAATGGTTTAATAAATTATTTAAATTTATTTTAGAATTAAATTAATGAATAAAATTTCATTTTTTTAAATAATAAAAAAAGATATTTACTGCATTCCAATATCTAAATTTTTAAGCTGATTGCACTTACTTAAACCTAATCCAACGTTCAGTGCTCCTTTATCATATATTTTATTGTCCCTTTTCAAATAAAATAAATAAAATTATTAAGAAATTTATTATTTTAAGCTAATCTCAAAAATAAAAATTTCATAAAGCTTTTTTTTAAATCATCAAAATTAATTGTAAAATTTAAATTACCTAAGGCAAAATTTTAAATTAATAAGTAACTTTAATTTGCTCAATGCTGTTCCAAAACAGTATGCTCCTTCATTCCCAATTTAATTATTACTTTTAATAAAAAATTATATGCTAATAAATAAATTTATCATCCTTTAATTGAAAAATATTTTAAACTTTGAAAAAATGAAAAATAAAAATTAATTACCTTAGCATAAATTTTAAATTCTCAAGTAATTAACAGCTACCTAGTACTATACAAATAGCAGAAGCTCCTTCTTCTCCAATTTAATTGTTACTAATAAAATATAAAATGATATATAAATAAAATTTATTTAAAATCTCTTAATAGAAAGGATAAATTGATTAAAAATTTATTCAACTGTCTTTTTTTATTTAAATTTATATCCTTAAAAAAACTAAAATGAATTACGATAGATTAATATCTAGATGAGTCAACATTTTACAACTACTTAATGTCCTACTTATAGAAAATGCACCTTCTTTTCCAATTAAATTTGCACTTTTTTAAGTTTTTATTTATAATTAGGTATTAAATTATCTATATATAAACAATAATCAATAAAATTTACACTGCATTTAAAGTTAAAGTTGTGATTTTAGCACAACTATTAATACCTTCTGCAATACTTGATATCCCTCTGTCACCTATTTTATTTTTCCTTTCCAAAAAAAGATATTTAATAAATAATTTATATACTTTTTAAACAATACAATAAATATAACTGAATGTGTTTAATATAATTGAAAAAAAATTACCAAAGCTGTAGATTTAGTTTATTAAGCGTTTTGCATCTACGTAATACTTTGCAAATCCAAACTGTACCTCCATCTCCTATTTAATTTCCACTTTTATTATTAAATATTATTTATTGAAAGTAATTTAGTTTAGATAATGAAAAATTTTAATTAATTTTGAAAGATAGATGGACTAAAATATATTAAAACATAAATTAAAAATAATTATACTCTAAATTTAGCTATAAACTGTTGAGATTAATTAGATTACTCATAGTTTCTTCTAATAGAATATTTCCTTAAGCTTAGATATCATTTAATCTTTCAAATTAAACATAAATCAATTAAATACGAATAGTTAGTTAGTTAGTTAGTTCTATTTTACTTACCTAAGTTCTTGACAATCATGACTTATCTAAAAAAGATTTAGGAAAAACAAAATTTGGGTGTATATTTAATCGTTGCTATTTAAATAAAATAAATTTATAACTATTTTAATTAATTTATTTTATTGAATTAACATATAAATTAATATTTTATTTAACATAATTTAAGATTCAAACTTTTAGCTTTTTATAAATGGTAGAAATAACTAGGGTTATAAGATAATGTTATATTTTATTAAACAAACAATTTGTTGGCTATATTAAGATTTATTAAAATAAAAAATATATTTATTTACCTCACATTATTACAAGTTTCAACAAAATCCTTTACCCAGGTATATTGAGTGAATAATTAATTTATCTAATCATCTGAAATATTTTCCTTACTAAATATTAGGTTGATAGAAAAAATAATTATGTTATTTAAGATAATAAATTTAAATTATTACTTAAGATTTAAAACTAAAGATTCTAATTGTTGACATTATACTAAGGAATTATTAAGTTAAGCAACTTGTTCATTACTAAGAGTACAATTTCTATTTATTTTAGAAATAAAAGCAAAATAATTTAATTTATGAATAAATCAATGAATTAAATGTATGAAATTTTATTTATTCTTAATTTTGTAATAGAAAAGACAAAAAATTTTTAATTGTTTATTTTTATTAAATAATATATTTGTTGCTTGCTTGTATTGAAAATTTATGATTAAATATGAATCAATGAATAAATATTTATATATATATATATATATTTCTTACTTTAACTGTAAGTCAATATGAGTTAGAGCATTCAAGTTAGATTTCATTAACTGTTTGTTTAAAAAAAAGACTTTATAATAATAAATAAAATTAATAATGATGGATACATCTTATAGAATACTTAAAGAGTTATTCTATTACTTCCTTTTTTTTTATTGATTTCCCATTTATATTTCTTTGATTTTAATTATGATTATAAATTAAAAATTTTGATTAATTAAAAAAAATTATTGATTTTCTTTTTTAAATATTCTTATTTAATTTGTACAATTCTAAAAAAATATACAGGAAATTCTCTTATTTTAGCACCCATATCCTGTATACTCTCTATATTAAGATCCCCCCTACTATAAAAATTTTCAAAATATAGGTGTTAATATGTATTTATAGGTGTTAATATCGGAGAATCTAGAGTATATTTTTTTAGAATGGTACAAAGTAAGTAAGAATATTTAAAAAAGAAAATCAATAATTTTTTTTAATTAATCAAAATTGTTAATTTTTGATCATAATTAAAAAATTAATTAATAATCTAAGAAATATAAATGGGAAATCAATAAAAAAAAAGGGAGTAATAGAATAACTCTTTAAATACTCTATAAGATGTATCCATCAATATTAGTTTTATTTATTATAACAAAATCATTTTTTTAAACAAACAGTTAATGAAATCTGACTTGAGTGCTCTAACTCATATTGACTTACAATTAAAGTAAGAAATATATATATAAATATTTATTCATTGATTCATATTTAATCATAAATTTTTTAAAACAAGCAATATTTTTTTAATAAAAATAAATATTTTTAAATTTTTTGTCTTTTCTATTACAAAATTAAGAATAAATAAAATTTCATTCATTAATTTATTCATAAATTAAATTCTTTTACTATTATTTATAAAATAAATAGAAATAGTATTCTTAGTAACGAATAAGTTGCTTAACTTAACAATTGTTTAGTATAATGTAAAAAATTAGAATCTTTAATACTAAATCTTAAGTAATAATTTAACTTTATTACCTTAAATTACTTAATTACTTTTTTCTATCAATCTAATATTTAGTAAGGAAAATATTTCAAATGATTAGATAAATTAATTATTTGATAAATATCTCAACTTAAAGAATTTTGTTGAAACTGGCTATAATATGAGGTAAATAAATAAATTTTTATTTTAATAAATCTTAATATATTCAACAAATTGTTTAATAAATTATAACTTTATCTTCTTACCCTAGTTATTTCTACTATTTATAAAAATTAAAAAGTTTGAATCTTAAATTATGTTAAATAAAATATTAATTTATATGTTAATTTAATAATTTAAGTTAATTAAAATAGTTATAATTTTATTTTATTTAAATAGCAATAATTAAATATACACCCAAATTTTGTTTTTCCTAAATCATTTTTAGATTAATCATGGTTGTCAAGAACTTAGGTAAAATAGAATTAACTAAATATTGGTATTTAATTGATTTATTTTTAATTTGAAAGATTAAATGATATTGAACCTTAAGGAAATATTCTATTAGAAGAAACTATGAGTAATCTAATTAATCTCAAAAGTTTATAGTTAAATTTAGAGTATACTTTTTTTAATTTATTTATTTATTTATATATTTTTTTAATATACCGTAAATCCTCATTAATTCTCACCAACCCCTTCCCCCCACCCCCAAACTCCAAAAGTACTATATAAATATTCACAAAATATGGTGAAAATTTATGTTTGCTGGTGAGAATTTATGAGGATTTACGGTAATTAAATTCATCTTTCAAAACTCATTAAAAATTTTCAATATCTAAACTAAATTATTTTCAATAATAAATAAAAGTGGAAATTAATTAGGAGATGGGGGTTCAGTTTGGATTTGCAAAGTATTACGTAGATGCAAAAGACTTAAAAACTTAAATCTGCAGCTTTGGTAATTTTATTTCAATTATATTTAGCACATTCAGTTATATTTATTGTATTATTTATGAAGCATAAAAATTATTTATTAAAAATCTTTTTTTGGAAAGGAAAAATAAAATAGGTGACAGAGGGATATCGAGCATCGCAGAAGGTATTAGTAGTTGTGCTAAACTCATGACTTTAAATTTAAATGCAGTGTAAATTTTATTGATTATTGTTTATATATTATAAAATTATTTTTCAACATAATTTAACACTTAATTGTAAATAAAAACTTAAAAAAGTGAAAATAATTAACTTAAGAATTTAGATTTTGGAATGTAGTAAATAATCTTTTTTATTATTTAAAAAAAATGAAATTATTTATTTTAAGTTTTAATAAATTGTCTTAAATTTTAATTAAACGTGATTTGCATTTATAAAAGCTTTAATTAAATTGGGGATGATGGAGCTTCTACTATTGGTAAAGCACTTTATAACTGCAAGGTCCTAACTAATCTCAAATTTGCAATTTGGTAAAATTATATTTTATTTATATATTGATATATAAAAAAAGTTTGATTATTATTTGATATATTTTTATTTAAATTTCAAAACAAATTTAAATAGTTAATAAATTGATTTATTTTATTCGAAAAGGGGCAATAAAATCGGTGATAAAGGAGCATAAAATATTGGATTAGGTTTGAGTAACTGCACTCAACTTACAAATTTAGAATTTGTCATAAGGTAAATTTATTTCGTTTAAAACTTTTAAAAGATTATGTCAAAGCATTTTATTCAAACTGAATTAAAAAAACTATGAATTTTTAAAATGTCTTAAATTTTAATTAAACTTGATTTGCATGTATAAAAGCTATAATTAAATTGGGGATGAAGGAGCTTCTACTATTGGTAAAGCACTTGGTAACTGCAAGTTCCTAACAAATCTCTTATTTAACATTTCGTAAAATTATATTTTATTTATTTTTTTATTTATTGATAAATAAAAAAAGTTTGAAAATTATTTTATATATTTTTATTTAAATTTCAAAACAAATTTAAATAGTTAATAAAATTGATTTATTTTATTTGAAAAGGCACAATAAAATCTGTGATAAAGGAGCATAAAATATTGGATTAGGTTTGAGTAACTGCACTTAACTTATAAATTTAGAATTTGTCCTAACGTAAATTTATTTCGTTTATAACTTTTAGTAAAATTATATCAAACAATTTTATTAAAACTAAATTAAAAAAACTTTTAATTTATAAAATGTCTTAAATTTTAATTAAACTTGATTTGCATTTATAAAAGCTTTAATTAAATTGGGGATGATGGAGCTTCTACTATTGGTAAAGCACTTTATAACTGCAAGGTCCTAACTAATCTCAAATTTGCAATTTGGTAAAATTATATTTTATTTATATATTGATAAATAAAAAAAGTTTGAAAATTATTTTATATATTTTTATTTAAATTTCAAAACAAATTTAAATAGTAAATAAATTGTTTTATTTTATTTGAAAAGGCACAATAAAATCGGTAATAAAGGAGCATAAAATATTGGATTAGGTTTGAGTAACTGCACTCAACTTACAAATTTAGAATTTGTCATAAGGTAAATTTATTTCATTGATAACTTTTAAAAGATTATGTCAAAGTATTTTATTCAAACTGAATTTAAAAAAACTATGACTTTATAAAATGTCTTAAATTTTAATTAAACGTGATTTGCATATATAAAAGCTTTAATTAAATTGGGGATGAGGGAGCTTCTATTATTGGTAAAGCACTTGGTAACTGCAAGTTCCTAACTAATCTCAAATTTAACATTTCGTAAAATTATATTTTATCTATTTATTGATAACTAAAAAAAGTTTGAAAATTATTTTATATATTTTTATTTAAATTTCAAAACAAATTTAAATAGTTAATAAAATTGATTTATTTTATTTGAAAAGGTTCAATAAAATCTGTGATAAAGGTGCATAAAATATTGGTTTAGGTTTGAATAACTGCATTCAACTTAAAAATTTAGAATTTGACATAGGGTAAATTTATTTCATTTACAGCTTTTAATAAAATTATGTTAAAAAAATTTTATTAAAACTAAATTAAAAAAACTATGAATTTATAAAGTGTCTTTAATTTTAATTAAATGTGATTTATATTTATAAAAGCTATAATTAAATTGCGGATGATGGAGCTTCTACTATTGGTAAAGCACTTGGTAACTGCAAGTACCTAACTAATCTCAAATTTAACATTTCGTAAAATTATATTTTATTTATTTTTTTATTTATTGATAAATAAAAAAAGTTTGAAAATTATTTTATATATTTTGATTTAAATTTCAATACAAATTTAAATAGTTAATAAATTGATTTATTTGTAAAGGTTCAATAAAATCGGTGATAAAGGAGTATAAAATATTGGATTAGGTTTGAGTAACTGCGCTCAACTTACAAATTTAGAATTTGTCATAAGGTAAATTTATTTCGTTTAAAGCTTTTAAAAGATTATTTCAAAGCATTTTATTCAAACTGAATTAAAAAAAACTATGAATTTATAAAATGTCTTAAATTTTAATTAAACATGATTTGCATTTATAAAAGAGATAATTAAATTGGGGATGATGGAGCTTCTACTATTGGTAAAGCACTTGGTAACTGCAAGTTCCTAACAAACCTCTTATTTAACATTTCGTAAAATTAATTTTTATCTATTTATTGATAACTAAAAAAAGTTTGAATTATTTTATATATGTTGATTTAAATTTCAAAACAAATTTAAATAGTTAATAAATTGATTTATTTTATTTGAAAAGGAACAATAAAATCGGTGATGAAGGAGCATAAAATATTGGATTAGGTTTGAGTAACTGCACTCAACTTACAAATTTAGAATTTAACATAAGGTAAATAAATCTATTTGATTTATAGCTTTTAATAAAATTATGTCAAACAATTATATTAATACTAAATTTAAAAAAACTTTTAATTTATAAAATGTCTTAAATTTATATTAAACGTGATTTACATTTATAAAAGAAATAATTAAATTGTGAATTATGGAGCTTCTACTATTGGTAAAGCACTTGGTAACTGCAAGTTCCTAACAAATCTCTTATTTGACATTTCGTAAAATTATATTTTATTTATTTATTGATAAATAAAAAAAGTTTGAAAATTATTTTATATATTTTTATTTAAATTTCAAAACAAATTTAAATAGTTAATAAATTGATTTATTTTATTTGAAAAGGGGCAATAAAATCGGTGATAAAGTAGCATAAAATATTGGATTAGGTTTGAGTAACTGCACTCAACTTACAAATTTAGATTTTTTCCTAAAGTAAATTAATTTCGTTTATAACTATTAAAATATTATGTCAAAGTATTTTATTAAAACTAAATTATAAAAAACTATGAATTTATAAAATTTCTTAAATTTTAATTAAACTTGATTTGCATTTATAAAAGCTTTAATTAAATTGAGGATGATGGAGCTTCTACTATTGGTAAAGCACTAGGTAATTGCAAGTTCCTAACTAATCTCAAATTTAGCATTTCGTAAAATTATATTATATTTATTTATTAATAACTAAAAAAATTTGAATTATTTTATATATTTTGATTTTAATTTCAAAAAAAATTTAAATAGTTAATAAATTGATTTATTTTATTTGAAAAGGCACAATAAAATCGGTGATGAAGGAGCATAAAATATTGGATTAGGTTTGAGTAACTGCACTCAACTTACAAATTTAGAATTTATTCTAACGTAAATTTATTTCGTTTTAACTTTTAATAAAATTATGTCAAACAATTTTATTAAACTAAAATTAAAAAAACTTTTAATTTATAAAATGTCTTAAATTTTAATTAAATGTGATTTGCATTTATAAAAGGGATAATTAAATTGGCGATGATGGATCTTCTACTATTGGTAAAGCACTTGGTAACTGCAAGTTCCTAACAAATCTCTTATTTGACATTTCGTAAAATTATATTTAATTTTTTATTGATAAATAAAAAAGTTTGAAAATTATTTTATATACTTTTATTTAAATTTCAAAACAAATTTAAATAGTTAATAAATTGATTTATTTTATTTGAAAAGGTTTAATAAAATCGGTGATAAAGGAGCATAAGATATTGGATTAGGTTTGAGTAACTGCACTCAACTTACAAATTTAGAATTTGTCCTCATGTAAATTTATTTAATTTATAAAATGTCTTAAATTTTAATTAAACGTGATTTGCATTTATAAAAGCCTAAATTAAATTGGGGATGATGGAGCTTCTACTATTGGTAAAGCACTTGGTAACTGCAAGTTCCTAACTAATCTCAAATTTAACATGTGGTAAAATTATATTATATTTATTTATTGATAACTAAAAAAATTTTGAATTATTTTTTTATTTTGATTTAAATTTCATAACAAATTACAAAAGGAAGTTCTTCAGTAATTAGAAGAAAGATTTAATGTGAAAATTAAAATAAATTTTGTTAGTATAACTTTAAATAGTAAATAAATTGATTTATTTTATTTGAAAAGGTCCAATAAAGTCAGTGATAAAGGAGCATAAGATATTGGATTAGGTTTGAGTTACTGCACTCAACTTACAAATTTAGAATTTGACATTAGGTAAATTTATTTTATTTATAACTTTTAAAAGATTATGTCAAAGCATTTTATTGAACATGAATTAAAAAAAATTATGAATTTATAAAATGTATTAAATTTTAATTAAACATGATTTGCATTTATAAAAGAGATAATTAAATTGGGGATGATGGAGCTTCTACTATTGGTAAAGCACTTGGTAACTACAAGTTCCTAACTAATCTCAAATTGAACATTTCGTAAAATTATAATTTATTTATTTATTGATAACTATAAAAAATTTAGAATTATTTTATATATTTTGATTTAAATTTCAAAACAGATTTAAATAGTTAATAAAATGATTTATTTTATTTGAAAAGGAGCAATAAAATAGGTGATAAAGGAGAATAAAATATTGGATTAGGTTTGAGTAACTGCACTCAACTAAGAAATTTAATTTTTAGCTCAGAGTAAATTTGATTTATTACTTTTGAAAAAAAATGATGTTAAAGCTTTTAGGATGTTATTTAAAATATCTTTATTTAATAAGTAATGAAGAGAAGTTTCTAAAATCCAAAGAAATTATCAACTGTAAAAACATAAAGTTATTGAAACTAAATATAAAGTAATTACTTTTCATTATTTAAAATAAGATAATTTTAAGTAAAATTTTTTACTTATTTAAAAAATAAATTTATATTTATTAAAAGTTACTTGCCTGAATAAAGAAAAAGAAAAATCAAAAGATTAGCTTAATAAATAAAAAGATTAGTAAAATTAAATATTGATTGAATTTACTAAAATGAATAATTAAATATTTATTTATTTATTAATAGTACATAAAAAAAATTAAATATAAAATCGTATAATCAATATATTTTTTGTTATTTAATTCCATTTTAGGAAAATGTTATTTGTTAAATATCACAGATTAATTATCATAAATCAAATAATTAAAATCTTTTATATATTATGGTTTTTTATATGTTGGAAACTACATAAAATAAAGCTGATTTCTTTATGTATTATTAATTTTTAAATTTATTTAAATTATTATAAACTTCATACAAAATACATAAATATATATTAAATACTATTATATAAATTTATTTAATATTATATTAATTTTTATCAGAGAGATAAATAGTTTTTGGTGTAACCTATCACTATTTATCTCTCTATTATAAAAAATAATCTTTTATTAGCAATAATAAAATATTTTATATTATTCAAGCATTTAATATTTATTCATCCTTTTTTCACCACTTGTTTATCATCAGAATTATTTTTTAAAGACAACTAATCTTTTTGATTTAAGACACTTGCTTATTACTTTGAATTTTAATGATTCATTCATTAAGCTAAAAATTTTATTATAAATTTGTGTAAATTTTAAATAAATATCAAAATAGAATAAACTTTTAAATTAAAAATTATTCTTTAAATTAATAAATAAAATAGGATTAGTTCAATAAAAAATATAAAAAAATAAAATCTATCAAATAAATTCAAATATATTTTTGCTTTATATTCATTTTTATAGTTTAAAATATCACAATCTAAAACAAATAAACTTTTTTTACTGAATGAGTTAAATTAACAAAGAAAGAACAAAAAAAAGTAAGCAAGCACAATAAAAAGAAAAAGAAAAAAGAGCTTTATTGTTTTTAATTAGTTTTTATAATTAAAAATATCACAATCCAAAACAAATAAACTGTTTTTACCGAAGATCAAGTGTCAAATTTGAGAGATTAATGCAATTTGCTAAAGCAGAACCTAAGCCTGATGCACCTTCATCACCAATTTAATTTTTACTTTTTAAAATTGAATAAAAAATATATCATTAAATAGTTAATTAGAAGGAAAAAATGAAGAAAATTATTAAATTAAAAGATTAATTAATAATAAAAGCAAAATTTGAAAACTAAATGATGAGCTAAATTAACAAAAAAACAACAACAAAAAAAAGCAAGCACAACAAAAAGAAAAAGAAAAAAGAGCATTATTGTTTTTAATTAGTTTTCATAATTAAAAATATCACAATCCAAAACAAATAAACTGTTTTTACTGAAGATAAAGTGTCAAATTTGAAAGGTTAATGCAATTTGCTAAAGCAGAACCTAAGCCTGATGCACCTTCATCACAAATTTTATTCGAACTTTTTAAATATTGAAGAAATAATATATCATTAAATAGTTAATTAGAAGGAAAAAATGAAGAAAAATATGAAATATTAAATCAGATTAATTAATAATAAAAGCAAAAGTTGAAATTAAAAATGTTGAATCAAATGAACAATGAAAGAACAAAAAAAACAAGCAAGCACAATAAAAAGAATAAGAAATAAGAACTTTATTGTTTTTAATTAGTTTTTATAATTAAAAATATCACAATCCAAAACAAATAAACTGTTTTTACCCAAGGTCAAGTGTCAAATTTGAGAGATTAATGTATTTTGCTAAAGCAGAACCTAAGCCTGATGCACCTTCATCACCAATTTTATTGTAACTTTTTAAATATTGAAGAAAAAATATATCAATAAAAAGTTAATTAGAAGGAAAAAATGAAGAAAAAGTATCAAGTAATAAGATTAATTAATAATAAAAGCAAAAGGTTGAAAATAAAATGATGAGCTAAGTTAACAAAGAAAGAACAAAAAAAAGCAAATAAGCACAATAAAAAGAAAAAGAAAAAAGAGCTTTATTGTTTTTAATTAGTTTTAATAATTAAAAATATCACAATCCAAAACAAATAAACTGTTTTTACCAAAGGTTAAGTGTAAAATTAGAGAGATTAATGCAATTTGCTAAAGCAGAACCTAAGCCTGATGCACTTATTGCACCAATTTTATTCGAACTTTTTAAATATTGAAAAAAATATATATCATTAAATAGTTAATTAGAAGGAAAAAATGTAGAAAAAAATCAAATAATAAGATTAATTAATAATAAAATCAAAAGCTGAAAATAACATAATGAATCAAATTAACAAAGAATGAACAAAAAAAACAAGCAAGCACAATAAAAAGAATAAGAAAAAATAGTTTATTTTTATAATTAAAAATATAACAATCCAAAACAATAAACTATTTTTACTAAAGGAAAAGTGTCAAATTTGAGAGATTGATGCAATTTGCTAAAGCAGAACCTAAGCCAGATGCACCTTCATCACCAATTTAATTTTAACTTTTTAAATATTGAAGAAAAAATATATCATTTAATAGTTAAAAATGAAGAAAAATATGAAATAATAAATCAAATTAATTAATAATAAAAGCAAATTTGAAAAAAAAAAATGATGAATTAAATTAACAAATAAAGAACAAAATAAAGCAAGCAAGCACAATAAAAAGAAAAAGCAAAAAGAGCTTTAATGTTATTAATTAGTTTTTATAATTAAAAATATCATAATCCAAAACAAATAAACTGTTTTTACTGAAGATAAAGTGTCAAATTTGAAAGGTTAATGCAATTTGCTAAAGCAGAACCTAAGCCTGATGCACCTTCATCACCAATTAAAAAAAAACTTTAATAAAATAAAAACAAACTACCTAAAACAGGTAGTTTAGTTAGTTCAAATAGAACTTCTATTAAATATATAAAAAATAAAGAAAATTAAAATATAATATTATTTTTAAGATGTATTCTGAGTGCATTTATATGTGCGAGTATTTCTATTCTATTCTATCACCAATTAAATTTTCACTTTTTTAATATTGAAGAAAAAATTAATCATTAAATAGTGAATTAGAATTAAAAAATTAAGAAAAAATATGAAAGAATAAAATTAATTAATTAATAATAAAAGCAAAAATTGAAAACAAAATGATGAGCTAAATTAACAAAGAAAGAACAAAAAAAAAGCACAATAAAAAGAAAAAGAAAAAAGAGCTCTATTGTTTTTAATTAGTTTTTATAATTAAAAATATCACAATCCAAAACAAATAAACTTTTTTTACGAAAGGTAAAGTGTCAAATTTGAGAGATTAATGCATTTTGCTAAAGCAAAACCTAAGCCTGATGCACCTTTATCACTAATTGTATTCAAACTTTTTAAATATTGAAGAAATAATATATCATTAAATAGTTAATTAGAAGGAAAAAATGAAGTAAAATATGAAATAATAAATCAGATTAATTAATAATAAAAGCAAAAATTGAAAACAAAATGATGAGCTAAATTAACAAAGAAAGAACAAAAAAAAAGCACAATAAAAAGAAAAAAGAGCTTTAATGTTTTTAATTAGTTTTTATAATTAAAAATATAACAATCCAAAGCAAATAAACTGTTTTTACCCAAGGTCAAGTGTCAAATCTGAGAGATTAATGCAATTTACTAAAGCAAAACCTAAGCCTGATGCACCTTTATTACCAATATTATTCCTACTTTTTAAATATTGAAGAAATAATATATTGTTAAATAGTTAATTAGAAGGAAAAAATGAAGAAAAATATGAAATAATAAATCAGATTAATTAAAAGCAAAAAAAAAAAAGCAATCAAACACAATAAAAAGAAAAAGAAAAAAGAGCTTTATTGTTTTTAGTTAGTTTTTATGATTAAAAATATAACAATCCAAAACAAATAAACTGTTTTTACTATAGTTAAAGTGTCAAATTTGAGAGATTAATGTAATTTGCTAAAGCAGAACCTAAGCCTGATGCACTCAATGCACCAATTTTATTCGAACTTTTTAAATATTGAAGAAAAAATATATCATTAAATAGTTAATTAGAAGGAAAAAATGAAGAAAAATAAGAAATAAAAAGATTAATTAATAATAAAAGCAAATGTTGAAAATAAAATGATGAATTAAATTAACAAAAAAAAGCAAGCAAGCACAATAAAAAGAAAAAAAAAAAAAGAGCATTATTGTTTTTAATTAGTTTTTATAATTAAATATATCACAATCCAAAACAAATAAACTGTTTTTACCCAAGGTTAAGTGTAAAATTTGAGAGATTAATGCAATTTGCTAAAACAGAACCTAAGCATGATACACCTTTATCATCAATATAATTGTCACTTTTTAAATATTGAAAAAAAAATATATCGTTAAATAGTTAATTAGAAAGAAAAAATGAAGAAAAAATATTAAATAATAAGATTAATTAATTATCAAAGTTAAAGTTGAAAATAAAATTATGAGTTAAATTAACAAAGAAAAAAGAAAAAAGCAACAAATTACAATAAAAAGAAAAATAAAAAAGAGCTTTATTGTTTTTAGTTAGTTTTTATAATTAAAAATATCACAATCTAAAACAAATAAACTGTTTTTACCCAAGGTTAAGGGTAAAAGTTTATAGATTAATGCAATTTGCTATTGCAGAACCTAAGCCTGATGCACCCATTGAACCAATTTTATTCCAACTTTTTAATTATTGAAGAAAGAAAAAATATGAAATAATAAATAAGATTAATTAATTAATAATAAAAGCAAAAGTTGAAAATAAAATGAAGAGTTAAATTAACAAAGAAAGAACAAAAAAAAGCAAGCAAGCACAATAAAAAGAAAAAGAAAAAAGAGCTTTAATGTTTTTAATTAGTTTTTATAATTAAAAGTATCACAATCCAAAACAAATAAACTGTTTTTACCGAAGATCAAGTGTCAAAATTGAGAGATTAATGCAATTTGCTAAAGCAGAACCTAAGTCTGATGCACTTTTATCACCAATTTATTTGTAACTTTTTAAATATTGAAGAAATAATATATAATTAAATAGAGTAAGTTGCCATACAAATTTACAAAAAGTGAGTTTTAAATACAAGTTTTTATATTTTATAAAATTAAAATTTAAAATATTTTTTCATCCCAGGAATTCACTGTGAACTCCTCTTTTTTGAAATACACCCATTTATTTTTTATACACTGTTAGAATCAATAAAAAATAAAGTTATTTTAAGCTAATTTAGCTTTATTCATTATGTTATTATGATATCTTACATTTCTCCTTTTATAAATTAAATAGGCATTTCAAATTAATTAGGAGGAAAAAATGAAGAAAAAATATGAAATAATAAGATTAATAAATAATTAATAAAATTAACAAAGAATAAAAAAATAAGAAATCATAATAAAAAGAAAAAGAAAAATAAATCAAATAAATTAAAAGAGCTTTAATGTTTTAAATTAACTTTTATAATTAAAAATGTTACAATCCAAAACAAATAAACTGCTTTTATTAAAAAGAAGTTTTAATAGCAAAAAATGAATAAAAAATATCAAATAATAAAAAATGAATAATAAATAAATAATTAAAAATTGAAATAAAAATTAAGTTAAAAGAGCTAAAATATTTTGTTTGAATAAATATCAATAAATAATGATGATAATTTCTATAATAAAAATTATATATTTAAATAAATTGAAAGTTAAAAAAATTTAAAATATTAAAAAAAAATAAAAACAATATTTTTTAATTAAATATACTTGAGATTAATATGGAGAACCTAATGAGATAAAAGTGAAGAGCTTAAAAACTTTTTTTATTAATAAATATTTATTTAAAGAATGTTAATAAAAAAATTAATAATTACTTCTTCTAATCTATTATATTCTTTAATCTATTATATCATTTATTTTTTTTTTCAAAAATATTGAATAGCAAGCAATTTAATTTTAATTAAATGGATAGAAAAAACAAATAAATATAATAATTAATTAATTATCAAATATTAATTTATATATTTGGTTTTATGAAGAGATAACACAGATAAATTAATTTAGCATTCATTACTTAAACTTAATATTTGTATTTAAAACATATACTTAAAAATTTAGTAGGAATTAGATATGGTCAGTCAGTTATTTAGTTATATTTGATAAATTCTAGTAGTTAATTAATGTTATTAAATTTTATAAAAATGATATTTATAAGTAGATTTTTCTGTTTTAGCTATATAATTTTAGGAATATTTATAATATTTCTAATTATAGAAAAATACCATACCAAAACTTCGTGTTTTGCATGACACTTATTATAAAATAGATTTTTTATTTATTTATTCAAAAATCTGATTTTATATTTAATAATTTCAAAAATAAGTAATTTTTTACAAAAAAAATTTTAAATTTAGCTAAATTTTCTGAAGTAAGTGGGGTAGACAAAATACAGGATTTGGTGCAATTAATTTCTGTAGTGATTAATTAAAAATTTGTTAAAAATTTTTTTAAAAAAGTATAAAAAGTAGCCCTCCGAGTGAAATACTTGGAAGGCGAAAAAATAGTAGGTAGAGAGGTTTTTACTGCCTACTGATCTAAAAATACTCCAATTGTAACTTCTCTGAATATTAGTTTTGTGGGGAATTTACTTGATATAAAATGATTATAAATGTTAATTTGGTCTAAGGCGCTAGAACACCTTTTTCTCTATATATTATAAGCTATTTATTAACTTATAAAAATATGAATTATAAAAATATTAAAACAATCATTAAATCTATCTTTTATTCAGGTTAAAAAAACTTTTTCAAAATATAATATTATAAAACATATAATATTCAATTATTCAAACATTTAATATTTATTCATCTTTTTTCACTACTTGTTTATCATCAGAGTTATATTTTAAAGACGACTAATCTTTTTGATTTAAGACACTTACTTTTTACTTTGAATTTTTATTATATATTCAAATTGTTCATACTTTTATTATAAATTTGTGTAAATTTTGAATTAAAATTAAATAGAATAAACTTTTAAATTAAAAATTTTAATTAATAAATAAAATAAAAAATAATGTGGAATAAAAAAATTAAAAAAATAAATCATAAAAAAGCTATCAAATTAATTAAAAGAGCTTTATTGTTTTAGATTAATTTTTGTAATTAAAAATATCACAATCCAAAATAAATAAACTGTTTTTACGTAAGTTAAAGTGTCAAATTTGAGAGATTAATGCACTTTGCTAAAGCAGAACCTAAGCCTGATGCACCTGCTACACCAATTTAATTTTGGCTTTTTAAATATTGAAGAAAAAATAAATAATTAATTAGTTATTTAGAAAGAAAAAATGAAGAAAAAATATGAAATAATAAGATTAATGAATGAAAAATAAAAGCAAAAGTTAAAAATAAATAAAATGATGAGCTAAATTAACAAAGAAAGAAGAAATAAAAGTTATCAATCATAATAAAAATAAAAATAAAAATGAGCTTTATTATTTTAAGTTTGTTTTATAATTAAAAATATCACAATTTAATATATATAATCTGTTTTTACTAGAGATTAAGTGTCAAATTTGAGAGATTAATGCACTTTGCTAAAGCAGAACCTAAGCCTGATGCACCTATTGCACCAATTTAATTGACACTTTTTAAATATTGAAGAAAAAATAAATAATTAATTAGTTATTTAGAAGGAAAAAATGAAGAAAAAATATGAAATAATAAGATTAATGAATAAAAAATAAAATCAAAAGTTAAAAATAAATAAAATGATGAGCTAAATTAACAAAGAAAGAAGAAATAAAAGCAAGCAAGCATAATAAAAAAAAAAGAAAATAGAGCTTTATTATTTTAAATTCATTTTATAATTAAAAATATCACAATCCAAAATAAATAAACTGTTTTTACCCAAGATAAAGTGTCAAATTTGAGAGATTAATGCACTTTGCTAAAGCAGAACCTAAGCCTGATGCACCTGCTACACCAATTTAATTGCCTCTTTTTAAATATTGAAGAAAAAATAAATAATTAATTAGTAATTTAGAAGGAAAAAATGAAGAAAAAATATGAAATAATAAGATTAATGAATGAAAAATAAAAGCAAAAGTTAAAAATAAATAAAATGATGAGCTAAATTAACAAAGAAAGAAGAAATAAAAGCTAGCAAGCATAATAAAAAGAAAAATAAAATAGAGCTTTATTATTTTAAATTCGTTTTATAATTAAAAAATCACAATTTAAAATAAATAAATTGTTTTTACCCAAGATAAAGTGTCAAATTTGAGAGATTAATGCACTTTGCTAAAGCAGAACCTAAGCCTGATGTACCTTCATCACCAATTTAATTGGTACTTTTTAAATATTGAAGAAAAAATAAATAATTAATTAGTTATTTAGAAGGAAAAAATGAAGAAAAAATATGAAATAATAAGATTAATGAATAAAAAATAAAAGCAAAAGTTAAAAATAAATAAAATGATGAGCTAAATTAACAAAAAAATTTTTTAAATTAATTTTTATAATTAAAAATATACAATCCAAAATAAAAAAATTGTTTTTATAAAGTGTAAGTGTTAATAGCAAAAAATGAAGAAAAAAATATCAAATAATAAAAAATGAATTATAAATAAATCAAAATTGAAATCAAAATTAAGTTGAAATAGAGAAAATTTTTGTATAAATAGAAATCAATGAATAATTTCTATAATAAAAATTATTTTTTAAATAAATAAATAAAAAAATTTTTAATATTTTTATTTAAATATACTTTAGATCAATATGGAGAACCTAATGAGATTAAAGTGAAGAGTTTAAAAACTTTTTTATTAATAAAAAAAATTTAAATGATATTAATAAAAAAATAAATAATTACTTCTTCTAATTCTTTGTATTATTTAATCTATTACATTATTTATTTTTTTTTTCAAAAATATTGAGTAGTAATTTATGGAATTTAATTAATTAATTAATAAATATAGTAATTATCAAATATTAATTTATAAATTTGCTTTTATGAAGAGATATCACAAAAAAATAAAATTAATATTCATTATTAAATCTTAATATTATTATTTAAAACATTTACTTAAAAATATAGTAGGTATTAGAGATGGGAAGTTAGTCATATTTGAAAAAATTCTATTAATTAATTATTGTCCTTATTTTATGTTAAATTATTATAAATTGTTAATATGGTCTTAGGCGCTAGACCACTTTTTTCTCTATATATTATAAGCTATTTATTAACTTATAAAAATATGAATTGTAAAAATATAAAAAACAATCATTAAATCTATCTTTTATTAAGGTTAAAAAAACTTTTTCAAAATATTATATTATAAAACATATAATATTCAATTATTCAAATATTTAATATTTATTCATGTTTTTTCACTACTTGTTTATCATCAGAGTTATATTTTAAAGAAGACTAATCTTTTTGATTTAAGACACTTACTTTTTACTTTGAATTTTTATTATTCATTCAATTAGTTTTATCTTTTATATAAAATTTGTGTAAATTTTGAATTAAAATTAAATAAAATAAACTTTTAAATTAAAAATTTTAATTAATAAATAAAATAAAAAATAATGTGGAATAAAAAAATAAAAAAAATAAATCATAAAAAAGCTATCAAATTAATTAAAAGAGCTTTATTGTTTTAGATTAATTTTTGTAATTAAAAATACCACAATCCAAAATAAATAAACTGTTTTTACCTAAGATTAAGTGTCAAATTTGAGAGATCAATGCACTTTGCTAAAGCAGAACCTAAGCCTGATGCACCTGTTGCACCAATTTAATTGCTACTTTTTAAATATTGAAGAAAAAATAATTAATTAATTAGTAATTTAGAAGGAAAAGATGAAGAAAAAATATGAAATAATAAGATTAATATAAAAATAAAAGCAAAAGTTAAAAATAAATAAAATGATGAGCTAAATTAACAAAGAAAGAAGAAATAAAAACAAGCAAGAATAATAAAAAGAAAAGGAAAATAAAGCTTTATTGTTTTAAATTCGTTTTGTAATTAAAAAATCACAATTTAAAATAAATAAATTGTTTTTACCCAAGATAAAGTGTCAAATTTGAGAGATTAATGCACTTTGCTAAAGCAGAACCTAATCCTGATGTACCTTCATCACCAATTTAATTGAAACTTTTTAAATATTGAAGAAAAAATAAATAATTAATTAGTTATTTAGAAGGAAAAAATGAAGAAAAAATATGAAATAATAAGATTAATGAAAAATAAAAGCAAAAGTTAAAAATAAATAAAATGATGAGCTAAATTAACAAAGAAAGAAGAAATAAAAACTAGCAAGCATAATAAAAAGAAAAGGAAAATAGAGCTTTATTGTTTTAGATTAATTTTTGTAATTAAAAATTACACAATCTAAAATAAATAAACTGTTTTTACTATAGATCAAGTGTCAAATTTGAGAGATTAATGCACTTTGCTAAAGCAGAACCTAAGCCTGATGCACCTGTTGCACCAATTTAATTTTATCTTTTTAAATATTGAAGAAAAAATAAATAATTAATTAGTTATTTAGAAGGAAAAAATGAAGAAAAAATATGAAATAATAAGATTAATTAAAAATAAAAGCAAAAGTTAAAAATAAATAAAATGATGAGCTAAATTAACTAAGAAAGAAGAAATAAAAACTAGCAAGCATAATAAAAAGAAAAGGAAAATAGAGCTTTATTGTTTTAAATTCGTTTTATAATTAAAAATATCACAATCAAAAATAAATAAACTGTTTTTACTAAAGATTAAGTGTCAAATTTGAGAGATTAATGCACTTTGCTAAAGCAGAACCTAAGCCTGATGTACCTTCATCACCAATTTAATTGAGACTTTTTAAATATTGAAGAAAAAATAAATAATTAATTAGTTATTTAGAAGGAAAAAATGAAAAAAAAAATAAGAAATAATAAGATTAATGAATGAAAAATAAAAGCACAAGTTAAAAATAAATAAAAGGATGAGCTAAATTAACAAAGAAAGAAGAAATAAAAGCAAGCAAACACAATAAAATGAAAAAGAAAATAGAGCTTTATTATTTTAAATTCGTTTTATAATTAAAAATATCACAATCAAAAATAAATAAACTGTTTTTACCCTAGATAAAGTGTCAAATTTGAGAGATTAATGCACTTTGCTAAAGCAAAACCTAAGCCTGATGCACCTTTCGCACCAATATGTTTGTATCTTTTTATTGAATAAAAAATATTTAATTTATTAGTTAATTAGAAGGAAAAAATATGAAAAAATAAGATTAATTTAATTAATAATTTGTTAAACTAATAAAGAAAGAAAAAAAATTAAGCAAGCACAATAAAAAGAAAACGAAAAAGAAATCAAATAAATTAAAAGAGATTGAATGTTTTAAATTTAATTTTATTTAGTGTAAGTGTTAATAGCAAAAAATGAAGAAAAAAATATCAAATAATAAAAAATGAATAATAAATAATTCAAAATTGAAATCAAAATTAAGTTGAAATAGCGAAAATTTTTGTATAAATAGAAATCAATGAATAGTGGTGAAAATTTCTATTATAAAAATTGTTTTTCTAAATAAATTTAAAGTTAAAATAAAAAATTTTTAAATATTTTTATTTAAATATACGTTAGATCAATATGGAGAACCTAATGAGATTAAAGTGAAGAGTTTAAAAACTTTTTTATTAATAAAAAAAATTTAAATGATATTAATAAAAAAATAAATAATTACTTCTTCTAATTTGTTGTATTATTTAATCTATTACATTATTTATTTTATTGAGTAGCAATTTATTGAATTTAATTAATTAATAAATTTAGTAATTATCAAATATTAATTTATAAATTTGCTTTTATGAAGAGATATCACAAAAAAATAAAATTAATATTCATTATTAAATCTTAATATTACTATTTAAGACATTTATTTAAAAATATAGTAGGTATTAGAGATGGGAAGTTAGTCATATTTGAAAAGATTCTATTAATTAATTAATGTCCTTAAAATGATTT